TGCATTTGTCTGCCATCTTGTGGTCAAAAAGATGTCTAGTGGGGAGTTGACGTACACACACTTAATTGTAGCTTATAACACAGACTACATGTGTTGACAATGTGTCCTATACATTTATTATGAATGCTTATTGTGACTCTTTGAGACTATCAGCAATGGATCTGACAGCCCACTTTCACTACAGTAACGTTACTTACAATATCGCTGTCATCCTCGGTAATCAGGCATGCAGAGGTGCAGTGTTCGCACACTTCTCAGTCTTCATATCCACAAGACTGGGACACAGTAATCGAATAAGCTGCACACAGTTATCATTCTGCTGCCTCCACTTCAGGTGTTGGGGGATTGACCTGCATGTAGTCGGCTGCATATTCACAACCTGAATGTAGCAACGCGTCGACAAACTCCCTGAACCAGCCGGGAGAATGTGGCTTCTTGAGGACTGCACTAACGAGGACATCCGCAGCCGCTGGGTTACCGTCGTTCCTCGCTTTCTGTCTGATCTGTTCCTTTTGCTCGTTTTCGATAGAATGCATATAATCCAGAACCTGCTCCACTTTAATATGCTCCTTCAGCCTCGGCCTAAAGTCTTCAATGAGACGCTCTTTAACATCATCGTCATCAGATGCCATTATGACCCACCAAACCGATAACACCGATCAAAGCGCTGTGAGGAAGGATGGCTTCATGAAATACAACTGGCTGCGGAACGATGATTCACTTCATCAAGAAAAATGAAACTCTTTCAGTTTCGTTTCTCCAAAAATCACAAGAATTAATTTGGCCACTAGATGTCAGTATGGAACATAGAAGGTGGGCCTACAAACATCTTAACTGTATATGACTTAAACACAAAGCCAAATGTTTCAAAAATTCTAACGGTGATAATGACTATTGTTAGTACTCAGCTTCTCAATGTATTTTTCTCCGTATCAATATCATAATATTATAAATTTCTTTTAGGAACTTTATCTAAAGGTACGTTAGGCCACTATCCCCCTACTTTTATCTGAGTAAAATTTTCAGTGCAGGTATTTTTTGATTGTGGTTTTCACTAGCATCTTAATCTTCCTGTGTCCACTCTAGTAACTGCAGGCCTAGTTCTGTTTTTCCTTTTGAAACAATCAAGAATTATTTGCCAGTCAATTCTAAACACAATAAGTATAAATATATTACACATAGCCTAATTTACATCCCCTTTCCTTCACACGATATCCTACATTATTCTCTTAATTCATAGTACAGTGTAGTTTTATTCTAGTAGTGTGGTGGTGGTGATTTTGTGAGGTTAGCAGATCATCATATAATAATCCCTGGCATTTCATTGTATGTTCATCCTGAGCCCCCTGGATAAGTCATGTCATTATGTCTCTCTTATTCCGGATATACTGTAGAAGTAAAAACAGTATTTTCATTGTAAATACACCCACAATATGGACAAAAAAAAGGGAAATCCAGTGAAACAACTGTAAGTGTGTTTTCATTTATTGCTCCCACACCTTCAAAACAAACATTATGTACTACTGTTTTGCTAAAGAGTTTCTCATATAATTTACTCAGTTAAAAAAAATAAAATTTCCTGGCAATTCGATGTATTTATTTTTTAACAATTGTCTAACAACATTTTAACTTTACTGTACATTGCCAACAAAAACAGTACAGGGAAACGAAATGATCCGTTGATGTTATGGTTAGTTTTACATGAAGATGCGGACTTAGCATTTGGATTGGTTGTATAGGCACAAGACCCTCTCTGGGGCCTGTTTATGCGCAAGTACTAATTTCCATGTGTTCCCCCAATCCCTCTTCCCATCCCTCTCCCCTAATACACCCTCTACGTGCATCCTAAAAGAGACAAGTATCCTGACATCATTTTATATTGTAATGTGCTACTTTGGGCTCATAAGAAGTGCAAAACAGTAAATATATAGATATAAAACACATGCACTGCCTTGTAGAAATACCTACATCATACTTGTTTGTCTGGGATAAGCAGAATACTCTTAAATCTGCATGTTATGATGTCTGCCCAGACAAGCATGTATGGTGTGTTCTGTTGGCGTAACTTTGCACAGTAGGTGCATGTCAGTGACTGCAGTAATAATGCACATTGTTTAGAGAAGAAAACTACAGTATTCTTGATACTGTATGTATATTGCAGTGCAAATGTCCATAACCCCTGAGTCACACTTCAGAGAAGACAGGCATACAACTAAGGATAAGGAAAACTGTTCTCACACCTTTGTGATAATGCTGTATTACACTAATAGCTGCAGAAAACAGTTTGTATAGTTTGTTCATAATGTAGTTTGTCTGTATATGTACAGTATCGCACACAGGCTTTAGACTCACACAGGCTGTAACAGCAATGACCAAATTCATCAGTGACTGTTGAAGGTGTGTCATACAAGAACTTCTGTCCCAGCGGAGGAAATTCACCATACGTGTTTCCACCTATGGCCTTGTCAATACCTCAGAGTCAGGTGCAAATCAAAGATGTCAGCAACTGGAGGAAGAATGGCAGTGTCATAATTTTCCTGTTGTAACAAAGTCCCCTCCTCGTGCTCAAGGTATTCATGAATGTATGATCGCAATGAGGACACAAAGCAGCACAGGGTCCTGGTTTGACTCATATTCTTGCTACCAAGTTTCAGGTTGCATGTGCAAACTGTCTGGACAACAAGTCTTTGTCCACCAGCTGCCAGACTACCTTGGTGACAGCATAGGGCCAGCCAGCATTTACAGTCTTTAGTTGCAGGCTCCATCTCTACTTGTTTCACTGACTGGAGTATAGGAAGCAGAGTGATCTATTGTGTTGGCCTGTCTCTGGGCCAGTGAGTAGTACAGTAGCCGCTCTCTGTTGATACTCAGCTACTCGAAGAGATGATAGCTGTTTCACAATTTGCAAATCCTATCAGTCGATGGACAGGAAATCTCCTGGCAGTTTATCCTGGAACCCCAGAAACTTTGTTATGTAGAGTGGGTTGTCCTATGTCTGTGGCTTTTTACTGCCCCATTCCCTTGCTTTCTGCACAAGAGTACTGGTAGGGAAGTATTGGTAGCTTCCAATTGTCACCTTGCCCACGAGGTGACTTACTTTTGTCTTTCTCTTGGCCTGTGCTCAGTACTTAGAAGACAACAACACACACAGGTACGTTACCTGGGGATATTGAGGAGCAGTTAGCCTGAGTCATACTGTGCATGCAAATTCCCGGCCATTGTCCATCTGCTGCACAGTTTTGGTGAGCTGTGGTGGCTATGGTCTTAGTGTTTGGGAGCCAGTCTTATCCCAGCTCTGCAGCTGACACCAGGAAGAAACCCACGTGAGATGCCTGGATTGCTGGACATTAGGACCCGCATAGCGTGAGGTAGGTCAGTCGGCAAGTAATGATGGAGGGAGGGACACATCTCCCTGATGGTCAAGGTTGTCAGGCCTTTTTCTCTGGGTCTCCGAATGAAGTTGTGAATGTAGTTACACTGGTGCACTGGTGCTTGTGTGACAGTGAAATGTACTGAGACCCGATTTACAAAAGAGTTTGACAGTGGTTTTCATTATGGCTGTCTCTAGCCTTGTGGCCCACTCAGTCCAGCCCTGGTTGACCAATTGTGTTGTTGCAACCGAGTCGTGAGAAGGGGTACAGAGCCCATTAAAGCCCATTAGAGTACAAAGCCTGGGTGAAACCAAAAGTTAGGTGATGTATTGCTAACTCAAGTTCTATCATACGGTTTTATTTAATCAGCGTTTCTGTCGATTAAGTAGAATTTAGTTAAGAAGCTGTAGTTTTAATGAATTAGGATATGCTGTCTTCCTATATGGCCACCCTCCGTGTGGTTGAATAGGTTCATCCTGATTGGTTGGGAGTGAATTTGTAAAAAAAGTGTCCATTAGAGGGCTTCTGTGTTGACAGAACTGCTGTTATAATATTTTACCATTGTTATTACACTGATAACCTCAGGAAACAGTTTGTTAACACACTGTTAATTGCAGCGAACAGTATTTCATCCACATGCATAATGAAATAAACATCTTACTTCTATTATCAAGCCATTGCAAATTAACAATACAGATGTCTGTGCCAGCATGCTGATAAAAAAAGCTGCTACTTAGTAATTACAGCATTACAACCCAGATATTAGAACACCGTGCAGCTGGAAGGTTTATGGCCTTGGAAACTCTGGGTCTGAGACAGGTCTGTGGAGTCCAGTAGTGTTGAGGTTGGTGTCAGAAGGGGCTGGGGAGGAAGAGGAGGAGGAAGTGGAAGAGGTTTCAGTTGGAAGAAGCATCAATGCAGACTGTTGATGCCCTGCGGTCTGCTGCTGTTGTTGCTGTTGCTGTGGCTCTGTATGTCTTTGTACAAGCAACGATGTAAGGCTGTCCTCGATGGGTGCATTCATATTGGACAAGCTCGACAGAGAGTCTTTGGATTCCTGAATGGCCCTGGCCAGTGTGAGGTTAGGGACCTAACAAGGAGAGTGGCAGAAGATGCACAACTTAGTTGGCCGCACTGGGGTAAATGGACCTGTATTCACTTCAAAACTTAATTTGGTGTATTTATCTGACATTTTGTATTCATTCAATATTATTTGTTATTTGAACTTGGTAACCTGTTTTAAGTAAAATCAGTTTTTGTAATATTAAAACTAATAAAAATGCATCTGTGCCTAAAGCATGCAACTTGTTTAAGCCTGTATTGACTCCCATATGGGTGAGGTATATGTCATCCAGACTATTCAGATGGGGACAGTGGCTCAGATTCTTTCCTGTGATTATACAGACTGTTCTGACAAACACTGTGGCAGACAAAACCAATCAATCAAAACATTCAGTGTTAACAGTGTGAAGCAGGTGGGAGCAAAGCATTATGAAACAGTGGCTTGCTGGATTATAGACTACCTCATTGTCTCCTTGAACATCACTGATGACTTGGTGAGAATGTAATTGGAGACCGCAGAAGCCAGCTGATGCTTGACTTCAGTGTTCCGCTAGAAATAATGCAATGCTTCACAAAAAACTCATAAAACCCTCCTTACTTGAGTTCCTGGATGGCTGAAGAAATGGCTTGCAGTCAGAGCAACTGGCTGAACCTTCATGGCAGGTCTGTGATAGTCTGGGCTGGCAGTCACAGTGCTGTAGGCTGGAGGTCCCAGTGTCGGCTGTCTTTGCAGCAGCTGCAGGATGGTGTGAATATCTGACATCAGCTGAGACTCCAGCCTCAAATAGAACAGGAAAAAAAGAGTAAGAAAGACACACATGCAGATAAGAGGTGGGGACTGCCTGAGACTGATCACATAATGGCTGAAAACATACTCAGTTGTACTTCACTGAGCACTAGATGGAGCCTGTGCTCCTCAGTGGACAAATTAAGAGATGATGAAGGCCTGGAAACAAATTCTGCCAGAGTAGTAGACGAAAGACGCTGCACCTGGTAGAAGTGATAATTAGCTTTATGTGGGAGGTGTGAATTCAGCGTTTACTGTGGTTTACTGTGTTTAATCTAATTATGAGTAGATTTCACCCAAGCTCTATATTTAGGGCATCAGGCAAAATGGGGTAAGGGGAAATAACCTTTTAATTACCCATATTCCTTCTAATATACATAGACATTATCAAAAGTCTTATGCTCCTGGTTTACTGTGCTGCTCTATTGTAGTGAGGCAGCATTTGTTTACTGGGATATGACTGATGAGGGATTAAGTAAAAGCAGCAGCACAGTAAACATTCATTACAGGTGCAGCAAACTGAATTTCTCTTGACTATTTATATGGCTTTGTTAAAGAGAATGCTAAACCTAATTGTTCCCCCCGTTACATCTTTTTCAGACTAGTTAAAGCCACAAAAACACAAAATTACAGAAAAGTGCTGCTCATCCTGCAGCCAGATATCATTAGGGAAAAAAGGTCAGGTAGAGTGCAGTGATTAAAATGTCTTATATGTGCTAGATAAAACGAGCCAGCCCGGTATTTCAGATACCTCCAGCTAAAAATACCACCTGCTGTTCATTCGTGTCTATTTTAGGTGGCCTGCTGGCTGCAGGTGTGTTGTTAAAACTACGGCCAATATGGCTCTCCACTAAAGATAATTATGAGATTAAACTGCTATGTATTCATTCTGGAAAGGTAGTGTGCTTGCATATTTACAGTATTGTTTAAATCACAGTGAGTTTATCTTGTTTATCTAATCTGTCATCACTTTTACATTCTAGTGTTCTACTCGGCAAAACCGTACAAACATTTTATACCAATCCATTCTCAAGTTTGATATGTCCTGGTTCTACAGTGGTACATCCTGCTTCCAGTAGATCCAGCCACCCACTCCGGCTCCGACAACACCTTCTGCCAGCTTCTGCCTTCCTCCACCTACTCATGTACAGTACATTGGCAAGTGAATGACACATTGCCAGTGATCGCAGTGACAGTCTAGCTTTACTTTTAGCAGTGTGGGAGGTGACAACTTTAAGAAATAAAGCCCTTCGTAATCATTAATTCACCAACTAAAAATGTAATGGTAGGACAAGTAATAAGAACAATCACTATTTTATTATACTACTTCCACAGAATACAACCAAACTGGATTCCTCTAAAAACACAGACTTAAAGCCACTATGAGTAAAATGTGAACATTTGTGACTTTGGTGCACACAGTAGTAGTTAGGGTGACCAGAGGACAATAGGTGGTATTCAGGACAGAGGAGTTGGGGGTGGTCGTGGCCTCCATTACTTTCAGTGGCATCGAAGAATAAACCATAACATGTGAAAACAAAACTCAATGCTAAAATTTGTCCTGTCTGTCATTAGGAAAAACAAAAACATAATGACTGTGAGTATGTAACAGTGTATAAATCATGATCATTTACATACAATTTATTTAATTTAATAATTTCATCAATGTGGTGCCTGTCAAAATGTCTACGCAACACACGTGTCAGATCTCTCCTCTGTGGCTGCCTGCAGCTACACTTCCCCTGTCCTTGTGACTGTAACTTCCACTGTCTTCATCTATACTAGAAAACAAAAAGGGGAAAAGAGCAAGCACGTTAATTTGTGGCTTTAACAACACTGTTTAAACAAAGTGCAGACACACTGCAGTCCCTGCTGTAGCCTAGGAATCACACAATGATTTTTATTTTAGAATTTAATGTTTTATTATACTACAGTCAAAACTCATGTTTAGTTAAATTTTCGGCACAGTCAGGACAGGAATCTGGACAACTGCTCGTAATTTGGGAATATCAAAAATTTTTCGGGATGTCTGGTCACCAGCTGCTGTAATGTCAATCCTCAGCAGTAATAGTGTTTTTGTTTGTACCTCAAATTCAGATTTGGGATAGCCATTTTGTATAAAATAAGTGGACAATGAGGGAACCATATATTTATATTTAATTTAACCCCATAACATACAGCCCCCCTTAAAGGGGCTTCAGCACATAAAACCTTTTTTTTTATCCATATGTTTGTGTTGGAGTAAGTATTGTGCTTAAGCCAGGCGTTTTTTGGTGTTAGCGGACTCCACGAAAGCGTGCATGAACGTCACAGCCTACGTAAGCCAATGGATTTTGCGGAGAAGCAGACCCAATTTCTTCACATAGGAAGCAGCATATAGTATATGCCATCATACAGTACATTCCATTATTAAAACCGAAAGCAAACTGAACTGTGTCCAAGCACAACAGACCCCAGCAGAAGCGCATGACTCCTTGGGGTGGGGCGTAGCTGTCCCCAGGGCATGTGGTCTCGGGGCTTTCTTTTTTCTCCCCAAACCCCCCTCCCCGTTCTCCTGCAGGTACTGTCCTTTCTCTGTGATGTTTGTGCCTCCCACCCCCATTTCTGCCCCCCTGTCCGGCCTGGTGACAAAATAATACACAAGTAATAATAAATAATAAAGACGACAAAGTACTAAATTAAAACTCATTTGTTGAAGCACAATCTGTCTGGCACAACAGGGTATTCAGCTCCTCATACTGCTCCTCATAGGCTCCTCCTGTAATTTACAAGACATATATACAAAATCCAGGTGTATCGTGTATACCCAAGTCTAGGGCTGGGCAATAAAACAATAATGTGTTATGTGGAGTTTAAAGCTTAATGAGGAAAAAACGAGTCAAAGTTTCAGCTCATTTCCCACCAGTAGGCTACTATGTCATATTAACAGTAGTGGAATAATCATTTAGATCATTTACTTAAATGAAATAGAAATACAATAATGTACAAATACTGTAAGTGTAAATGTAAATAAAATGCCCAAAGTAAAAGTACTTGCAATGAAATGGCCCCTGTGTTAAATAATTACTATGTTATTGTATTATTATTACTGATGTATTTATGTGTAAACAGGCGGCTCTTCTTTATCCATTTTAGTTACAATTATCCTGATGAAGATGAAATCTATTATTATTTGATACAGGTCCGGTGAACTGTTGCACTATGCCCTAACAGCAAAGTACAGTGGGTACGGAAAGTATTCAGACCCCTTTAAATTTTTCACTCTTTGTTTCATTACAGCCATTTTCCAAAAATCAAAAAAGTTCATTTTATTTCTCAGTAATGTACACTCAGCACCCCATCTTGACAGAAAAAAACAGAAATGGAGAAATTTTTGCAAATTTATTAAAAAAGAAAAACTGAAATATCACATGGTCATAAGTATTCAGACCCTTTGCCGTGACACTCATATTTAACTCAGGTGCTGTCTATTTATTCTGATCATCCTTGAGATGGTTCTACACCTTCATTTGAGTCCAGCTGTGTTTGATTATACTGATTGGACTTGATTAGGAAAGCCACACACCTGTCTATATAAGACCTTACAGCTCACAGTGCATGTCAGAGCAAATGAGAATCATGAGGTCAAAGGAACTGCCTGAAGAGCTCAGAGACAGAATTGTGGCAAGGCACAGATCTGGCCAAGGTTACAAAAAAATTTCTGCTGCACTTAAGGTTCCTAAGAGCACAGTGGCCTCCATAATCCTCAAATGGAAGACGTTTGGGACGACCAGAACCCTTCCTAGAGCTGGCCGTCCGGCCAAACTGAGCTATCGGGGGAGAAGAGCCTTGGTGAGAGAGGTAAAGAAGAACCCAAAGGTCACTGTGGCTGAGCTCCAGAGATGCAGTCGGGAGATGGGAGAAAGTTGTAGTAAGTCAACCATCACTGCAGCAATCCACCAGTGGGGCTTTATGGCAGAGTGGCCCGACGGAAGCCTCTCCTCAGTGCAAGACACATGAAAGCCCGCATGGAGTTTGCTAAAAAACACCTGAAGGACTCCAAGATGGTGATAAATAAGATCCTCTGGTCTGATGAGACCAAGATAGAACTTTTTGGCCTTAATTCTAAGCGGTATGTGTGGAGAAAACCAGGCACTGCTCATCACCTGTCCAATACAGTCTCAACAGTGAAGCACGGTGGTGGCAGCATCATGCTGTGGGGGTGTTTTTCAGCTGCAGGACAGGACGACTGGTTGCAATCGAGGGAAAGATGAATGCGGCCAAGTACAGGGATATCCTGGACGAAAACCTTTTCCAGAGTGCTCTGGACCTCAGACTGGGCCGAAGGTTTACCTTCCAACAAGACAATGACCCTAAGCACACCGCTAAAATAACGAAGGAGTGGCTTCACAACAACTCCGTGGCTGTTCTTGAATGGCCCAGCCAGAGCCCTGACTTAAACCCAATTGAGCATCTCTGGAGAGACCTGAAAATGGCTGTCCACCAACGTTTACCATCCAACCTGACAGAACTGGAGAGGATCTGCAAGGAGGAATGGCAGAGGATACCCAAATCCAGATGTGAAAAACTTGTTGCATCTTTCCCAAAACGACTCATGGCTGTATTAGATCAAAAGGGTGCTTCTGCTAAATACTGAGCAAAGGGTCTGAATACTTATGACCATGTGATATTTCAGTTTTTCTTTTTTAATAAATTTGCAAAAATTTCTCCATTTCTGTTTTTTTCTGTCAAGATGGGGTGCTGAGTGTACATTACTGAGAAATAAAATGAACTTTTTTGATTTTGAGAAAATGGCTGCAATGAAACGAAGAGTGAAAAATTTAAAGGGGTCTGAATACTTTCCGTACCCACTGTATAGCGAGTGGGCTTCAGTGGGCTTCACATTCTGGGGTAATTCATAATTCATGATGGTTAAATGAGGATCAACCACCATCTGTATGCTGACTGTAAAAACATTTACCTGTTTAAGTGCTGCTGAAGCTGACCTAAGCGTTGTTCCACCTCTCCATACGTGATTTCGCTGGCAGAATTATCTTCCTCCCTCAGGTCCTGGAACTGTGCTGACTCATCCAGGAAGTCCGTAGGCTTCTTACAGGCCCATTATCACAGCACAGATCTGTAGAGCCAAACCAACACTCATACTTTACATCCTCACATGTGGGTCAGAACAACATCATCATTGAATAACCCCCCCCCCCCCCCCCCCCCCCACACACACACACACTAAAATAGAATGTAATTAATATAAGGTATCATGTTGTAATTTATCAAGCCCTTGTACAGGGAGTATTGTTGATGCAATGTTTTTCAGGAGCAAACTAACCCTGTTATCTCTGCTGGGCACCTGCTAGTATTCAGCTTGCAGTCCAGTGATATGTGCTGAGCCTCTTTTGTGATTTTAAACACAGAGATGGTTAGTTCTGTGATTACACTATCTGGTGCAGCAGTCCGGGCAGGTGGCTTTGAACTACCATTATGAGCCGGACAGATATGAGGATCCTTGTTGGATGTTGTGTGTGTTTACCATGGATGGCACTTACCTTTGCCCTCATGTGACCTTATTTTCTGTATCCTTCCAGCAGTAGAGATTAACAAGAGCTAATTTTTCTCCATGTGCCAAACTGTCTTTTGAACTAAATGTCTTTTCAGTCTTGGGATGTGCTATGCGCATACAGAATTCTGCAATTTCTATATCAGGTTACTGTAATCATTTTAGATCTCTGATTCTCCTCAGACAAATGTGAACTTTCGACTTCTGAATGAGGCTGCAAATCAATATCAAGAATACTGGTTTAGTAAGAGACACTATTAATTATTGTATGTCTGTAAAAGCTTGGCCCCGTTATACAGGTGTGAATATTGGACACCTGAATCTCCCACAACAACCTCAGAAATTGCAGTGTTTTTGAGAGTTGAATCACACCTCTCTTACAAGCGCATGCCTGCGTTATAGTTGTGTCTCTATTGTATAAAATAGGACAGTGGATTGGCTGTTGCTGTTATGGACAAGTGTGGACACAAAAGCATGAGCAGTGGTGAAATAAGAAGCTATGCATGGCAATGGTCATGCAATAAAACTGCCTCTGTGAATCTTGTAATATTCGCTTTTCTTGACTATGTACAATAATTGGAAAATGATCATATTAAGCTATCAGTGTGATTGCATGTTTCCTCTTCTCCCTAATTTGGAATGGCTAATGTCCCAGTACTCTGGTACTTGTCACTCCAAAGACTGTCTTGGCAATATGTTGAAAGTGCAGCCTTCTCATTCATTTCAATAAGACCGCTGCGTTGGCTAATCAAATATTTGCTAGCTCACTTTCCTGGTTGAGTACTTACTCTATCATTTAAATTCATTGTTGAGACGGGTATAAATAATTGTCACTGTTATAACTGTCCAGAATTGTGAAATCCTGCCTCAGAGTATTATAAGCTCCTGTGCAGTGTTTTGACGTAAGATAAGCCTTTAAACACACAGATATATTACTCAAACCAGCATTGGAAGCCTGGGAATATCTCAACCCCTTTCATGTTCACAGAAACATCTAACAGACGTTCCTACTGTAAATACAAAGGACATGATTCCCCACTCCCAGTGCTGCTAATTATGTTGCTCTATACTGCATAGGAACCCCTTACAACACAAACTTTTTGTCAAAACAATAACCATTATGTTCACATAACACTAATAATTCATCAGTGAAACCAGGGTGCGATTTGTGTAAAAAACTGGATTGATCGGAAAGTTTAAAAAGTTTTTCCCTTTTATTATAAAAAAAATAAATAGCCAATGTAACATTACATCGCGATGCAGAGTTGAAGTGAAAACGCAGAAAAGACAGATGCATGCTGTATTTAACTCTGAAGTGCAGTGATTGGGTAAGGGGAGAGAGACTGATTTAAAAACCGTCACTTTCAAGAGTGTCGTTAAGTGAGACCCTGTAGCTGTGTGTTTGAGCATGTTCACTGATGTTACAGAGAAACTGGGCAGCTTGTCATCAGAAAAACAGATCATCAGATTTTGATGTGTCTTGCAGCTTCAATATTATCGGCTGCCTTCCCCTCGACAGAGACAGGCAGCTACATTTAAATACATAGTATTTAAAAATAATATTAACCCTAACAAAACTACGGATTGATCCCAAACGTGTGTTTTGTTATCAGTTGTATCACTAGTGAAGTAGCACTGATCACTCTGAGGGGGGGATAAATTTTCTCCCCACCAGAAAGGGGGAAATCTCACGCATCCCCCCTGGCAAATCGCACCCTGAGTTAAAACTAAATTACCTTCTAAAGATTGTCTTCTCTCCAAGCTGTCTCTGACAATAAGATTTGAGTCCTGGACGGCGGCACTGGGTGGAGAGGGACCCAGGACTTCTGAACATCTTTTTAGGCACGAGTTAGACTCCCTCTCCCTCCCCAAGTCTTTAACCACTTCCTTGTTTCCACCTGTAGAATGGCAATGAACAGGTGTTAAAGGAATAACACTGTACTGTATTCCGTATGGAATACGTGTTCTCAGGGAGCTTCCACTCAACAAATTTGCAACCACAAATCAAGCTAAAAGAGGCTCTACTGGACCTGTGCAGATTAGTTTCTACTTACCTTCAGATAGATCTGGTGTGAAGGATATCCTTCTTTTAATGCTCTTAGTGCCATCGCCATCTGAATCACAGCCTTGGGAACTTGAGGGCTGCAACAATGTGAGCATTGGAATCTATTCATTAATGCATTTAGTGGTCAATATTTATTAAATTTGAATTGCTAGAATGTTAATAAAATCTAATTTAATTTTAAGTATCATTGTTAAAAGTCCATAGTCATGACAATGTGAATACTTGTTAAACACCATCAATTTAACATATAGGTCCCATAACACCAGCGTAATGTCATCTACCTTTGCAGACTCATCTCTAAGGTTGAAGGTAAGCTCCAGGTTGTTGAAGAAGCAGTCAGCGAACTCTGGGTACATGTCTAACACCTCCAGGAGGTCTTCTCTCTGAATGGTGCTCAGGTCACAGTAACTTAGAGCTCGAACATCAGCATTGGACTTTCCAGGCTTGGCCAACACATGGATCATTTCTCCAAAGATGTCATTTTTTCCTGGTATCAACACACACAGAGACAAAACATCTTCTTGTAAGGTTCACTGGGATAGGGAAGTCTTAGCTTTAGTTGCTTCTACAAGAAGTCCTGCTCATTACAGAGATTCATTTGTGTCATGTTTTCTATAGGGACTTATCTCGCTATTCCTCAGGCTCTCTCACTAAAGTGCACCCAGCATGTTTGTTTTTGCGGATAATAAAAATCTAACAGCCCTCCCTCTCTGTGTGGATGATCTCCCAAGGCCTGTGCATCAGTTGTTTTTCCATCTTTGATCCATTATTTACGCTGAGGAATAACTCCTAACTTGAAGCAACTTTGATGTGGAGGGAAAGGAGGGTTTGATTGTGATTGACACACTTACTTCAAAGAAGAAATTTGTGTTGATAATGGCTATCACATAATGAATCCAGTTCGTCAGCAAACGTCTAGGTAGTAATTAAATCTAACTTGGGCTTAGTTTCGAAACTGGGGAATAAAAGAGTTTCCTCTGCTAAAATGAGTGTCCATTTTGCAGAGGGCTGGAGGTTTGGTTTAAAGGCCATGATGAAAAATCCCTTTGTTGGTCCCGGGGTTCACTAAATGCCAACACTGTAAGCAGGGGTTCAGGAGAAAGAGATATGATATGTTGGCTGCCAGTGTGCCTTTCACAGCATGCAAATGGACACCTTTCTACCACAGAGTACAGCCTTACACAGAGTGGTGTATTTCTCCCCCACATACAGCTCTCAGCACAAGGATTTAGATAGTCATTAGCCTGGATGGCGGTGTAAGAGACAAATTCACTCACTAGTGGAACAATGCTAGCAGCCTTGTTGGACTCAATATCATTACAAGAGGAAAAATGCTTTAGCCCTATCGGCTGACTGCTACCTTTTTAGAGGCTGGGGCAGTTTCGTAGGTGATAACATGCTAAGAAACATACAGCTTCTCACAAACAAATTGGAGCAAAATGGTGCTGATGGAGCATTATGTTTGAATCAAATATATACGGGTTGATATATGGGATCAGTGACTTTTCCTATGTGTTTGTTAATAATAGGTTTTGTGTGATGCAGCAGCTTTTGCTAAGCTTAAACCCCATTCTGTCAGGTGCAGCTTTGGAGAGCATTCATCTTAGGAATAATCGCAAGTTTAATCCGGGCCTGGCCTGTAGCACCTGGCTGTGGTTCACCAGAAAAAAGATAAATATTCATTAATCTTACAAGAAGATGAGTATTCAGTATCAGTATAATTACTATGGCAAAATATTGTTTAAAATTTCGAGCAATCGTTTTAGACAGTTTAGTCTTTTATTGTCCTTTTTTTATAATCACTGTTTTGCAGTTTTAACTCATTTCCCTGTGCTGTCAGAAAGTGACAGCTATTTCACCGTGTTCTGTGAAATTGCCAAATAGCATTTCATTTCATGGAGCCACTTAATAGAAATGTCAGAGTCTCAAACCTGCCACATGAACAGCCCTATTGCCCAGAGGACAAAAAAATGGGTGACGGCAGGCACACCTTGCCATTCTTGTCAAAATGTGTGAACACGATGTGGTTTAGCTGCCGTGTGACTTGAAAATTATTCACATTTTAACAGTTAATTCTTTGATATGCACACAAGTCATGCTGAGCTTCATTGTAAGTATTACTGTGTTAAAATAAATGTGCCCATAGGGATGCCTGCCTATCCTTTCCTCAGCTTTGACAGCTCTGAGCAGCATCTCCACATATTTGAAAATATCAACATTCTGGGCAGAGTGGGAGGTTAATGCCATCAATAATTCAAATATTTCAATCAATCAGAACAAACTACATAATTAATACACTTCACAAAAAATCAAAGGTGGAAACCCATGTGCAACCAAAGGCACATTCTGTAATTTTCTGACATCCTAGAAAGCATACTTTCATTTTTGTGCAAAAAGTGAACGTGGTAATTTCAAATCAATTCTTCCAATAAAACCCATGTGCTTTGAATACACATATTGATATATTAGCGTGACCTTTTTGTACACACTTCCTCTTTGACTATAAACAAAAAGCAAAGTCATATATTTGCTCATGCAAACTCACAAAACACTGAGGTCAGACTACAATTGAACCACCCTTCCCTTTATAAGAGCAGAACCAAAAGCAGCAGCATACATGTTATGTCTTTGTCTCAACGGATTTGATGCTGATATTCAACACACAAGCTGCTGAGAGATCTTCTATACAACAGGGAGATGACTTTTACAGTTTTTACACCTCTTGTGATAGGTGGCATACAATAGAAACTGCTACCTCATCCATGATACTGATGATGACACAGGCAAACAAAAAAATATCTTGGCTCAAAGAAGATAAAAAACACTCATCCACCAATAACAATTTCAGCTTTCATAGAACATACATAACAGTGTCTCATTGCAGTCATTTAGCACCCACTCTCTAGGCTACCCATTATTATACTTCCCATAATCAACAAGGGATTGTATTTACCGAGGATGGCTACCACAATGTCATCTTTCAGGATCTCAATAGAGCCGCGGGACAGAAAGTAGAGAGCGGTGAGCACATCACCACTGTGGACCAGAGTGTCTCCAGGAGGAGCATGAGTGGTTTTGAAGTGCATGGCCAAGGCCCTCAGGCAGCCTTTGGTGGCTCCTTGGAACGCTTTGCAGTTGGTAAGTAGATTCTTGTTGAGGTGAAGGCAGATATCCGCCTGCAGGCACTCAGGAAAACCTTTTAACACCTGTGATGCAGAGAAAATCCGTGAGTAAAATGCACAAAATATTCGTTTGAAATCCTCAAAGAGACGCATTTAGAATTGGTCTGCGGCCCAGGGGAAGCTGTGAGCAGCAAATGTGTTGAGATGAATGCACTTTTATTAAAAGAAACTGTAATTAAGGTTGACAATTGCACAGAGATGAGGATATGGGATGAAAACAATGTTTTATAGAGTCATAGACCCATTAACTACAGTCGGTTGCATATACATCGTAGGAAAAAGATCAAATGCAATATGGCAGACACTATGATGTTTCCAAATTAACACGCATTCCTATGAATTATATTAAGATGTAACAATTGCTTATTTTGTAGGATTTCCATAACAAATCTTAACTTGGATTAATGTACACGAAGCCTGCTCAGTTTTGGCTTTGTCTCTTTCTTTTCTTGAACTGGTAACACATAATATCGGACTTATCTGACCATTAACCACATTTAATAATCACAACTTTTATGCTTTACCCTGCTCCTTTATAGTGTTTATCATATATTACATGGTTACAACATTCTATGATTAAACGATTACTGCAAATTAAAACAAGAATGTGGATCCATAAATCCCAGCGTTGGATGAGAAGCTAATTTATGGGAATGTAATGCTTGAATTAATAAGTACACATTTAATCTTGCGTTAAATGCCAAAACATTTGTTGGGAAAATGAGAGAGAGATTCTACCATACTCCATAAAATTACGTGGTAATGAAACATAATCGTGCATCTTGCACCGTTAAAATCTAAATAGTATAATTAATTAAATATTAATTATCTTTGCTTTAAGATATGTAACGATGTCATGACAATGAGATGGATTCACAAAGAGATCATGCATAAGTGATGGAAATGTGACTACTGACACTGTCTGGATGATG